CATGGGGGTGGGGCCAGGGCGAGGGCTGGCAAGGGCACGCACCGCGACCCCGGGGTAGGGGCCGCCCATGCGCCCGGGGCTGGCACCTGCTGCACGCCCGGGGGCGGGGCCAGCCCAGATTGCTCCGCAGGTGCACGTAAAGGGCCCGGCGGGCACCATGGCGCCCTCGGGCACTGGGTTTGGCACCACGGTTATAGACTAACCGAAGTGTTGGAGCATAAGCTTTCGTGGGCAAAGACCCACTTCATCAGATGCCAAGTAGAGGTCAGAAAGCTAAGTATATAACAAGGCTGCCTATGGGTATGTGGACATGTCTCTAACAGGAATCACCCCCAGTCTACTATTGAGACCATCAATTTATTTTCTCCAGATAACTTACTATCACTACAAGTTTTACCTGGATGTGAACTGATATTGAATTTAAAGCCCAGTTACAATCAGAAATATGAATATATAAAAAAAGTGACACCTACTTCATTTTTTAAATTCTGATCCTAGCTGCTCTTTTCAGTAAAATAAGTTTGACTTTTACTACATTTTACTCATCAGATCACCAAAACCAATATAACTATGAGACAGTGAACTGGATTGTTTCCTGGCTGCCACATATAGAAACTTATTAATTAAATTACAGTTGTTTACAATTACATTTAATTAAGTAAATTACAATGATAGGCTATTTGCTGTTGGTGATAAAGTATGCGACAAATGGAACCCAGACTGTCTTGCAGATCTCAGACTGAGTTTGCAGGGCTTACAGTTAATAGATATGTATGCATCTGTAAGCAGTACCAATTTCATTGAGTTTTTGGGAGACAAAAGCTAGAACTCCATTTTTACATAGCTGTTTTTCAGAGCATAACCATATAATTCTGCATCTATTGCCAAGGCACTGGAACATTTAGTTTCCCACCATTAATATTCACACATCTTTTAATTTAAGTTAATGACACTAAGGTATTATGCAGAATTATAGAGAACTAGAACTTGAAGGGTCCTTGAAAGGTCATCAGGTTCATGCCCCTGCACTCACTGCAGGACCAAGCCCTATCTAGATCATCAATGAAAGATGTCTGTCTAACCTGCTCTTTGATACCTTCAACGATGGAGATTCCACGAACTCCCTAGGCAATTTATTCTAGTGCATAACCACTCTGACAGATAGGAAGTTTTTCCTAATGTCCAACTTAAATCTCCCTTGCTACAATTTAAGCCCTTGCTTCTTGTCCTCTGTCAGAGGTTAAAAGAATTTTTCCACCCTCATCCTTGTAACACCCTTTTAGGTACTTGAAAGCTGTTATGTCTTCTCTTTCCCAAACTAAACAAACTCAGTTCTTTCAATCTTCCCTCATAGGTCATATTTTCTAGCCCTTTAATCATTCTTCTTGTTCTTCTCTGGACCTTCTCCAATTTCTGCATATCTTTCTTGAAATGTGGTGCCCAGAACTAGATACTATACTCCTACTGAGGCCTAATCAGTGCAGATTAGAGCAAAGAACTTCTCAAGTCCTGCTTACAACACTCCTGTTAATGCATCCCAGAATCATGTTTGCTTTTTTTTTTTTTTTTTTTTTTGGCAAGTGTCACACTGTTGACTCATGTGGCCCACTATGACCCCAGATCTCTTTCTGCAGTACTCCTCCCTAGACCAGTGTTTCCCAATTTTATTTGGCCACGGAATCCTTTTCAGTTTAAAAGAATTTCAAGGAACCCCAGAATTGGTCGAACAACAACAACAGCAACAAAAGCCCACCAGAGTTTGTCAAGCAAAAGAAAAGAAAAAAAAAGACGGTCTCTGTTGGCTCCTCTCGGAACCCTTACTTTCGCCTCGCGGAACACTGCCCTAGACAGTCGCTTCTCATTCTGTATGTGCGAAACGGATTGTTCCTTCCTAAGTGGAGTATTTTGCATTTGTCTCTATTGACCTTCATCCTATTCACCTCAGACCATTTCTCCAGTTTGTCCAGATCATTTTGAATTATGACCCTATCTTCCAAAGCTCTTGCAACCCCCTGCCCCAGCTTGGTGTCATCTGCAAACTTTACAAGTGTACTCTTTTTGCCACTATCTAAACTATTGATGAAGACATTGAATGTATGTAGAGTACTAAAGGTAAGTTACGTACCCATGTTAGGAAATGACTAAAGGCTGCTATAGGTGAAGGAATATAAAGATAGACCTGCCTGTAGCCATGATTGAAAATACAGTAAGAGCTGCCTTTTTGCTTCAATAATTAGAGACAAGATTGGCTGAATACTTTAGGTAAACTGATACAAGATTTTTAATCTAGAACTGCCACTTATTAAAAAAATTCAAAAATAAGATCACAGCCCCCCTCCGCCAGCCACAGCTGTGTAATAGAGGAAAGTCTGATCACAGTTTATTCCTGCTACACTTAGACCCATGAGCATTGCAACACTGAAGCCACTGAGCCACTGCTTTGTGTTTTCATTCAACCGTAGTGCTGTTGATTTCACACCAATGATAATGTCATCTCTTTTATCCTAGAATAAAGAAGGGTATTAGAAAAAAAACATAATACAAGTTGAGAAGTCATGGGTACGGAAAGTAGTTTTAGGGATATAATAAAAAAGGCTTTGCCTAAGGCAAAGGTTTTCAAGAACAGGTACCTAATATTCAGGTCCTAAATCCATTTTAGGCACCTAACTAAGGAGCCTAGTTCTTAAAACTGCTAAGCACCTGGCTGTTGCTACTGACTTCAGAATTACTGATACAATGCCATACCTAGGTATACAGCACACTTTAACAGTGAGGGCTCTACTCAGAGACATTCATTAACTAACTTACACAGATAGCAGTGAGCAGAAAAACATGGAATGATGGGGTAATCAGTGGGGTAAAAACTAGTGAATACAAAAAAAACTCTCTTAAAAGCACTTTTAGGTTTTAAATCTTTTGATTGCAGTGGGGAAATTAGTAGTCCCATGTAAGTCCAATGTAGGGAGTTTTACACGTAAACAAACACATAATTAACAATAAGAAATTTAACACTCAGTATCACTGCTTTACCTGATGTGCGTAAATGGTGTCATATACCAAGGTCCACATAACTCCAGAGAAGTAAAGAGGCAAACACACAGACCAATCACATGAGCCTTTGATGGCAGACCACCCAAGTAAGGCTCCCCAATTAAATGTAAGCCCTGCAATTAACAGAAATAAGAAAAATATACAGAATTATAGTTTTCTAAAATGTCAGTGTCAGAAACAATCTAAATTATATTTTGCATCACCATTTGACATGCAGTACCTGTGCAGGCTTTGATTTTTAATCCCTACACATTTAGAGGATGGGGGATTCTCTCTTGGGAAATTTGATTTTTAATCCCTACACATTTAGAGGATGGGAAACAGTGACTCTTGGGAAACAGTGACTCTGCAAAAAAAATGTGGGAGTTGTGGGGATAGTCAGCTCACCATGAGCTCCCAGCGTGAGACTGTCCCCCAAAGGTCTAGTGCAATCCCTCGATGCATAAACAAGGAAAACTTAAAGACATCATCTCACCCAACTTGTGTCTCCAATATCCTGAGACGGACACTTAACAACAGTGATTACAGTCTGTATGGAACCAAGTGGGGAACAAGAATTTTATAATGGGTTCTTCAATCTACAAGAGAAGGTTACAATGATCCAATGGCTGGAAGGTGACGCTAGACAAATTCAGTGTGGAAATATGGCACCTATTATTAACAGTAAGGATAATTAACAACTGGAAAATTAATCAAGGGTTGTGGTGGATTCTCCCTTACTGGCAATTTTTAAATCAAGTTTGAATGCTCTCCTAAAAGACATACTTTAGCAATTATTTCGGGGATGTTGTATGGCCTGTATTATACACAAGGTCAGACTAGATTATCACAATGGTCCATTCTTGTGTTGGAATCTATGAATCCAGGAACATTGTATTCATACATGAGGATGGGAGAAAAGGAAGGATTATCTTATTATTTTTTCATGGGAAAAGAAAAGAATTATATATGAAAACAGGAGTGCTGATCGTTGTAAGAAACTCTTCTCATTTCCCTCCTACCAATCCCTGGGTTTCCATGCTCTTCTTGCATCAGCAGCAGACGGAAAGTGACTAACATTCCAGTCTCTAAATCAGCTGTGGCCAACCCGAAGCTCATGAACCACATGCAGCTCTTCCCACTCCTGGGTGCGGCTCTCGAAGCTCCCCCTGTGACTTGTAAGCCGCCCCTGCACCCTCAAAAATGGGCTTCTCCTCCTGGCTCCCTGTGCTGACCTGGGCAGGGGAGCCATATGGCACGGCCATGAAAGATGTAGAATTAAAGATGGTGTTGGGAGACTGCTGTGGTCAAAAAGCCTCAAAACACGTTTAAATGCATTTTCTTAAAGGGGCAGAGCTTTTTTTTTTCCTCAACAACTTTGCCCTGGGTCTTCGCACTGAATCCACTGCTATCTTGGCTCTTTGCCCAGAATGGGATTGGCCACCTGTGACGTAGTGGGGGTACCTGGCTGGTTTCTATGCTGCTGGCTCTGGGGTAACCCCCACTGGCTGCCCTGGGTACCACGACCCAGCAAAACAGGATGAGTCACTATGCAAACCAGTATGGCCAGACACCCCCCATGGAGAGGAACAAAGGAAGGTGGAATGCTGCCCTGGCTGGGGGGCAGGGCTGGAAGAGAGGTAGTTAGTTGCTGGCTGGAAGCATGGAGGAGACAGCCTAGGGAAAGGGGCTGGAGTTTAGGGGCCCAGTCTCCCCCATCTCAAGGGGGCCTGAGGCATCCTAGCCCAGCTCTGTGACCAGATTACATCTGTGCTGTATCCTGGAGAGGCAATAAACTTCCTCTATTCCACCGGCTGGTGCAGTCTGTTTGTGCCATTTCGGGGTGCAGGAGACGGGGAACCCCCAACGCGCCGTCACACCACCCCTGTTCTAAATTATTTGGTAAGACTGTATTGAACATGATGCTGTTTAACCATTACTATCAGTGACAGTAACAGACACCACATCTGAAGGGTAGAAAGCTGAGCTGCGATCAGTATACTGCATCATGCAATGTTTTTATTTCTTTTTTAAAATTTCAGAGAAGTACAGTGAGTATGCAAAGAAAAAAAATCCAATGATAAGCCAGTTGAATTGCTATATATTATATCAATACATATGAATTGATGTATACACAAAATTTTCAGCTAAGTAGCAATAAATCTAAGTACCTATATATTACACAGTATGTTCGCTCTCTAAATTATACTTGATTTAACTAGCATAGAGCTCCTTGCAAACAGTTGCACATGTGTATAGTCCCAGTGAAGTGAGTGGGACTATCCATGGATCTCAAATTAACTATGTGTTTAAATGTCTGCGTGACTAAGGCCATAAGCTTAAATACTTATTAGCCACAGAGAACTGTTAAAGGAGAGAAAGGGAAAGAAAACACAGTAGACAACAGTAGTGGTTACTAAAGGTAGTAGATATTAAAAGTGTTAATAAAAGTGGAAAAAATATGGGAAACAAAAATGTATAAAGGTATGATACTAAACTGTGTCAAGTTGGAATATAGTGCAATGAATCAGTTTACCCCAGTTAATGTAAATGTTTAAGATTGAAATGTAAGGTGCAATATATATTTAAGAAAGATTTCCAGAGGCATGTAGAAAAATGCCCCATATCTCCCACTTCATACTTAGGTGACAAAAGGATGATTTTTCAATACTAGAGTTTGGGAAAAGGAGGGACTATAGAAAGGAAAGAAACTCCTAGGCTACATCTAGACTGGCATGATTTTCCGCAAATGCTTTTAACGGAAAAGTTTTCCGGTAAAAGCATTTGCGGAAAAGAGCATCTAGATTGGCACTGACACTTTTCCGCAAAAGCATTTTTTGCAGAAAAGCGCCCGTGCCAATCTAGATGCGCTTTTCCGCAAAAAAGCCCCGATCACCATTTTCACGATCAGGGCTTTGATCAAAAGCTTTGAGCAAAAGGACTTTTGCCCGAACGGGAGCAGCATAGTATTTCCGCAAGAAGCACTGATTTCTTACATGAGATCGTCAGTGTTCTTGCGGAAATTCAAGCGGCCAGTGTAGACAGCTGGCAAGTTTTTCCACAAAAACAGCTGCTTTTGCGGAAAAAATTGCCAGTCTAGACACAGCCCTAGAGTTTTACTAACTATTTAAGAAATGTCTGACATTCCAATGATCTTATTTGTGGTTTCAGGCCATTTTATCTAATATTCAAATTCAACTATTATGATTTTGCCATAATACTAAAAAAAGTTCATGTGAAAGGAGGAAAACTAGAAATGTTTAAGCTCACCCAAAACCAACTGTGGCCAATATGTGATTCTCTTCATCAGGGGATAAGTGATCACAAGAGACAGAGAGGCTGCTCCTAGGGCAATACTGTAATGAAGGAAATTCATTAAAAGACTTTATATGGTTTACTTAAAATAATTAATAATTATTGTACTGTCATTATTTTCTTGTCTTAACATCAACACTGTAGCATAAGAGGAGTGATACTGTATTGAAGACTGAAAGTATTATTTCATTCTAAAACCAGAAATTTGGTTGCTTCTATGTTGTTTTAACTGCCCCCTCTGCTAAAATTAATCATGCTTAGCTTCAGCGTGGTAGGTAAATAGTATAAGAATAAAATATCAGATATACATTACCTATAGTAATTTAGGCACAGAAGAACACACAAAGCCAAGCTCAGCTGTCCCCCAAGAAAAATAAAGGACTGAAAGGTTGAGATATCTCCAACAGCTATTGGTCGACTTGCGGTTCTTAAAACCTAAAAGAAAGAACATGAAATCTAATATACTAAGTTAAAATACACATTATAAATAAAGTTGATACCTTAATGCAAAGTAATGTTGGAAAAATTAAGCCTACAAGTGAGGTAATTCAAAAATTACGTGTCCTACACAAAACATTACTTTTATCACATTTCATATCCAGTATATGGCACGTATTTATGAATAAATAATAAAACCTTAAACTAAAATATGCAGTATTAGAAAATACTGCTTCTGTGTAATGAGACTGAATTAGAACTCATGTAGAAACTTAAGATTTGAATTTTATTTGTGTGCTTAGTTCAATATTGAATGAAGTTAACTTTTTGCTAGGAATGCCCCTATTTCAAGGGCAAAGGCATCTTTAAAGTTCTTCTTTATTCAAACCTTGTAAGTGCGTGAGTACTAAGATTTCTGTAATAGGGTGGAAGATTCTAGGATTATAAATAGGCAAGGCTCCTTGGCTACGTCTACACTACGAGTTTTCTTGGCAAAAAATATGCTAATGAGGGACTCATTTGCATGACTTGCAATCTCATTTGCATATTTTCTGAAGGGGTTTTTGCGCCAAAAGAAAATGTCCACACTGTTTGTTTTTGAGCAAAAACCCCAGCACAAAAATGGATCAGCAGAAAATATGCAAATGAGATCATGAGTCATGCAAATGAGTCCTTCATTACCATATTTTTTGCCGAGAAAACTCTTAGTGTAGATGTAGCCCTTCTGTTCATTCACCCTGCATTTAAATGCCTGAAACCTTCATAAGGATGCTGTATACTGGTCATACTAGTAAACGGATTCAATTAGCTCCAAGCAAGATATAGAAAGCAATGGAATTTCTTTCAGGGACATGGATGTCAAAGAAAATGATACCAGTAACCAAGTGGAAAGCAAGTTTAGGTAGAAATGTATGTTATTACCTAAATTAACAATAAAATCAAATGCTAAGGAAGGAGTAAGTTGTACACTTTATACAGAACATATATACTGAGAGTTAGGTAAGAATGCCACCTCTAAAATTTACAGTGCTCTAAAAATGTATGAAAATGTTTGTGTGTGTAAACTTTAATACTAAATTATTTTCCTTTAAGTTTGGCTTGATTTTCCTCTTTTAGTTAAGACTACAATTATGCCAACATTGAGGTTTATAGCTTCTGCAGTTTAAGTGAGACACAATAAAAAAACGTTGTCAATAGCATACATCATCTTCACCATCATGCAATTCAGAGATGGCTACACTAATATAACATTCAAGAAAAATGCAACTGGGGGTCTAGGATGTTTTAGTCAATCAACAAAATGGCCACTAACTAGATGTGTCACAACCAGAACACCCCTATTTGAGGTTTTATTTGTAAAATAATTTTCTATATGAATTTTAAACTTCTTACAGTTAATCAAATTACATTCTTGTCAATTTCACTGAAATTCCTTATTTTGTTATATTTAGATCCTATTTGTGCAAGGGACTTAAAGGAAGCAGCTTTTACTACCACATAACAGAAACACAACAGTGTCGAGTTATCTTGCCTTCTCTTAGTATAAACCTATTGAGGAGACTGAACGTTGATATTACAAAAAGCTCATTCTTATTTGGGATACATGACCATTAGTTTAATTATGATGTAAAAATTCACATTAAGCAGAAATTGATACCTCAGTAGCTAGAAAATGCCGATAAAGAAATCCCTGATAATTCTAGGGATAATTTTAGCTAGTAAATTTAAAAGAAGCATATCAGTTAGTTTGGATCTGTTTTTAAGAAAATATGTATTTTGAAGAAACTTTGATTACACTGTAACTAATGTACCTAATCATGGATATAAATGATCTCAAAAACAAAGAACCACTGCTGCATTAGTACTTTTGGCTCTCTGTTATACCAAAAAAATCAAATTTACCATTTAAAGATAGATTAGTTAGTATATGACTTCTGAGCCGGGAGGAAAAAAATGAGATTACTTGGAAACTGTTTTCATCAGACATGCGTGTATTTGTACCAAATGACCAGTTTGTCTTAGTGAAAGACAAAAGAAGGCTTACTTCAATAAAAGGCCTGCAATTTACTTACTTACTCATCCAACATTAAGAGGAGCCTGCCTGTTCTTTTCAAGTCCATGGGGCTTTCTCTACCTTTTTGTCATAATCCTGATCCCACATGTCATTAATTGTACAGCCTGCTCCACGCATCAGGACCGCTCCAATACCAAACAGCGACAGCATATACCAATCTGGAAAACAGCCTGGCTCTGCTGCCAAGCCTATACTCCATGTGCATGGCAAATACAACAGCCACGTTCCTAGAAAAGTTAATTTGAAAGGGATTAGGGGAAATAAAGAGTAACTCCATTTATAACATAGCATCTTATAAAAGGCAAAAAAGTGTTGAATTACTAATTAAAAGCAACAGACACTGCAACACCAAATCTGAGAGTTAAGATGGCATCAGTGCAAGGCATTAGTGCCACAGTTTGATTCTGCACCTTTTCTTTTCCCTCCCTCTTCTTAATTGAGATGTTAATTATAAAGACCTATTGTCTATTTTCCCAGTAAATAAGAAAACAAACATGGAGGAAATGTGGTGTTTGAACAGTAGCCATAAAATCAGCCATTGCACAGAAGCACAATAGTTTGCAACCAAATATCTAGCTACCTTTATAATTATTCACAAGGATATACTCCAAAATGGATATTTCATAGAATATTAGGACTGGAAGGGACCTCGAGAGATCATCGAGTCCAGTCCCCTGCCTTCATGGCAGGACCAAATGCTGTCTAGACCATCCCTGATAGACATTTATCTAACCTACTCTTAAATATCTTCAGAGATGGAGATTCCACAACCTCCCTGGGCAAGTTATTCCAGTGTTTGACTACCCTGACAGTTAGGAACTTTTTCCTAATGTCCAACCTAAACCTCCCGTGCTGCAGTTTAAGCCCATTGCTTCTTGTTCTATCCCCAGAGGCCAAGATGAACAAGTTTTCTACCTCCTCCTTATGACACCCTTTTAGATATCTGAAAACTGCTATCATGTCCCCTCTTGATCTTCTCTTTTCTAAACTAAACAAACCCAATTCCTTCAGTCTTCCCTCATAGGTCATATTCTCTAGACCTTTAATCATTCTCGTTGCTCTTCTCTGGACCCTCTCCAATTTCTCCACATCTTTCTTGAAATGCGGTGCCCAGAACTGGACACAATACTCCAATTGAGGCCTAACCAGCGCAGAGTAGAGTTTATATGAATTATCAATTCAATCCATAAAATATTTTATGTTCCAAATGTCACATGACCTGCTTACTAATAGACTAACTCAAGGGTGGGCAATAATTTTTGATCGGGAACCACGCCAAGAATTTGGTAAGTGGTCAAGGGCTAAACTTTTCCATGATATTAATGGAGGAGGTGCAGGTTCTGGGAGGGAGGTTGGGGGGTAGAGGATTGGGGAACAGGAGGGAGGTAAAGTCTGGGATGGAGGTTGGGTAAAGGAGGAGGGTTGTGACCGAGGGCAGGGGATTGAAGTGCAGGAGGGAGTGAGGGATCTGGGTGGGGGTTGTGACCTGGGTAGGGATTCAGGAGGGGCTGCAGGAAGGCGACTGAAGAATGGGAGGGTAGAGTCCAGGATAGAGGTTGGGTGAAGGAGGGGGTTGGGACCTAGGATAAGGGATTGGGGTGCACAATCTGGGAGGAGCTATCGGTGCAGGGTGATGAGCTTTTCTCTGAGTGCTTGAAGCCCCTGGGTCAGGGGGGTACTTTGTGCGCTGCCTGCCCCACAAACACAGTCCAATTCTAGACAATGGGAGATGCCAGACTGTGCTGGGGGTGGGGGCAAAGCACAATTCCCTCTTCCCCCCCAAGCTTATGGTAGTGCTCAGAGAAGCACACGGCTCCCACATCTGGCCACCCGTATGGCATGCAGGGCCAGGACAGGCAGGAAGCCTGCCCAGCACAGGAGGCTTCTGCTGGGCCACAGGCCAGATCCAGTGGCTAGGTGGGCTATATTTTGCCCACCCCTGGTTTAACTTGAAAAGCAAATTGCAATTTTTCTACCACGAACAGAAAATACAGGAAACTGGATTTCTGGCTCATTACAACAATGTATAATCCACTAACAACTCTCCCCCTTGGCTATCATTCAATAAGGATGTCAGATATCATTTAATTTAATTAACTGCATGAAATCTTAACAGTTACATGATTATTTGATGGTCTCTTGGGGCAGGACCAGCAGCAGTTGTGCTTCCAGACACATTCCCAGGGAGCCCTCTGCCACCCTGGGCTGCTGCCTCTGATACAACTTCCTGAGGACAGAGACTGTGCTGGTATCCTGCCTGCCCCACTATGCTGTTACCTCCGCCACCCTCACCCTCTGTGCTGCTGCTTCTGTATCAGAGGCAGCAGTGTGGGGGTGGGAGGAGATGGCACTGTGAGATTCGGTGTTCGAGGGGAGCCAGCTTAAAAAGGCACTGGCTGCCCCCCTTTGTGATAAAAGGGTTGCTTACATGTTGTAAATTATTAGATTTCTGCTGCCTGAAGTAGTAGTATAGTGTGATTTTTATTATAAAAACTCTGGAATTTGTTTTGTAAAGAAAACTGCTCTCAATCTCAAAAAGCAGCTTGTTCTTAATATCTTGTGTAAGACTCAAACAAGTGGTAGGTTGCAGTTGGACGCGTGTTTGGTTTTGAAAGCGATACACTTAAGATAATTAAGAAGGGATTGTACAGACTGGCAAGTGGTATTACTGTAGATATTTTAGCTTTGCCTCCAATTCAGACGTTAGCAGGTGGAGGAGGCTGAAATCCATTTTATAGCAGCACTTTGCATTTCTATGATCCCTTCCCCTGCCAACCCCAGGAATTGCAGCAGCCTTCACGGAGTCTATCCTCTCAGTATCCCCATGAGGCAGAGGCACCTCATTCCCCAGTGAGATGGGAACCAAGGGGTCAGACCAAGGGGCCCATCTAGCCCAGCAGCCTGCCCCCCGTGAGGCCTGGCGCTTCAGTGGACGGGCAGAGACCCAGGGGACCACGCCCCGCTTCTGGCACTCGGGCTTCCCATTGCAGCAGCCTTCACGGAGTCTATCCTCTCAGTATCCCCATGAGGCAGAGGCACCTCATTCCCCAGTGAGATGGGAACCAAGGGGTCAGACCAAGGGGCCCATCTAGCCCAGCAGCCTGCCCCCCGTGAGGCCTGGCGCTTCAGTGGACGGGCAGAGACCCAGGGGACCACGCCCCGCTTCTGGCACTCGGGCTTCCCCAGTGACCGCGCGGGGCAGTTCAGCACCTTGGACAGCCGGGCCGG